ATATTATAAGGTCAAAAATGTCAGGGCTGACAGCAATATCAAAGGACTGGGCAACACTAGATGCAACACTTGATACCCTATATTATAAGGTCAAACATGTCAGGGGTGACAGCGATATCAAAGGACTGGGCAACACTGGATGCAACACTTGATACCCTATATTGTAAGGTCAAACATGTCAGGGGTGACAGCGATATCAAAGGTCTGGGCAACACTGGATGCAACACTTGATACCCTATATCATAAGGTCAAAAATGTCGGAAAAATGACTGTATATAATAGGATCTTTTTTTTTATTCCGAACAGTTACTACAGGTAGTTACTGGATGTAAAATGATTGATGGAATGATTGAAATGACATCTATATCTTAGTTCAATTCCATGAAAAGAATGAAATACTTACGTGTCTGGCGTATGAGGAAAACCCACAATTTTACGCCTCTGTTTGACTTTGTTATTTTCAGCTTCCTCATTGACAATCACCATTTCACACATACCTGGAAAATATCAATAGAAGATCTTAATTATTGGTATATCTATGGTTTTTCAGCATTTAGGTAACAAAACCATGTACATCACTTCAGTCCTAAAAATAAACTTCTGATAATTTTTTTAAAATAATATATTTGAGATATAACGTGCGCACTGATTGGCTGGCTACCGTGTTCATATCAGAGGACAGAGACACGCTCGCGCGATATCATTCAAAAATATTTTATAAAACTGTGATATAAACACTCTGGAGCTGTAGAGCACTCAAGAAGTCAAAGAAACACTCGGCTAAGCTTCGTGTTTCTCTACAACTTCTCTTTTGCTCTACAGCTCCCATCGTGTTTATATCACAGTATATAGACATGCACGCCATTTTATATTCCTACAGTAATATGTATAGAGGCTTTGCATCATCACATGATGGCAGCCATGACAGGAAACGCAGCAAAAGAACCTTTCCCCCTGGGAAACTGAATTCTTTCTCATGTAAATTAGATTAGATCAGATTCAAATGTTCCTGCCTCCTGTCATGGCTGCCATCACATGATGGAGCAAAGCCTCAATAGTTTAGATAGTATGTACGAGCTCTGATTTGTTAAGAACTATGTTATTTTATCAGTGAACAGAGTATGGATGTTGATGCATCCCCAGCAAACTTTGCAAAGATCTGTAAGAAAACAGCATCAAATACTATAAATTAAGATTTTTTTCATTCTACAAAATAAAACAATTAAAAACGTTTTTTTTCCATGCTCTGTTCAGTATCAATAAAAGAACTTAGAAAGTGGGGAAAGCACTCATTAAATTAAAGAAGTGTGTGAACCACTCTCCTACAGGTGCTTCTTGTCATTTGTTTCATGCTTGTAATGTTACTTCCTGTTTGCTTTATATAGAATGTTTGAAATATAATGCATGCACTAATTGGCTGGCCACCCTGTTTACATCATCTAGAGGACAAGGACACACTTGCAGAAAATCCCTCAAAAATATAGCTGCTTATGTCTCTGTACAGTGATATATAAACACCATAGGAGATGCAGAGCACTCGAGAGAAAGACAAACACTCAGCTATGCCTCGTATTTCCAAACTTGCTTCTCTCTTGCTCTACAGCTCCCAGCGTGTGTATATCACAATACAGAGACATGCCCTCACATGTTTTATATTCCTTAAATGGAGAATGAAAAAGATATATATCTTATATTTACCAGTATCATCACTCGTTACACAGGAATTCCTTATATGTGAAATGAGAAAGTCAGGATCGTCAAGGAAGGCCATCTTCACCACAAGTCAGCTGTCTGACAACAATGTCACACATCTTAACCCTGCAAATGACAAAATTCAGAATAAATTTGAGATATACATGGGGATGAAAAAACCCGGGCAGGTTCAACCAAGCCAGATAGGTATACAGTCTTTTGACTAAACGTTACGCGTTGATCGGATCATCCCTACGTGCCTAGACCAAAAAGGATAATGGGTAAATTACCCAGAACTTGCGTCATCCAAACTGCTCGCCAGTTTAAATCTTCGCCGTATGCTCGAGGCATGGTTTTAGCAAATTAAATGGGATCGAAAACAGCGAACTCAAGACGTGTTAGATAACATATGCGGCATCTAGTAACTGTGAATTAATTATCCCCATGATCCTTTTCTGTCTAGGTGCCTAGAGATGAAGCTGATCAAATGACGTTTAGTCAAAGGACTGTATTTGTAGGGGTAAGAGCACTCCCCTCTCATCAATGCAACCTGGGTTTGAGTCCTGCCCACAAAGAATTGTGGAAGAGCCAGAAACATGTGAAGGCTTCAATCAATACTAAATTATTTGTAAACAAAAGAAATCGCATTTTAACTTATGTCACAATAATTACTTAGTAATAAATAAATGTCATAATCTTCTTTGTTTTTTTGATTTTTTTGACCTAAAATTAGCTTCATTTGAAGCCCTATTTCCACTAAAAGTTCTTGCTAACTTCTTGACCTTATAATTCGCAACTTAAATTTGAATTTATAAAAACGAGCGACTGACAATAGAAGTTTACATTTGTTAAGTACGCAAATGTAAAGCGATACACAGTTTAGAATGTTGGACTGAAAAGTTTGACACGATCGTGAGATTATTCAATGATCAACTTGAGCGAAGCAAAAGAATGAATCTAAAATGACTTCGAAGTAGAACGTAAAATATGAATCCAATAACCAGTACTTGCCTATTTTAGCTAAAGTTCATTTCTCTTTGGTATTTTAACACGCAGTCATTGAAAATCAATCAATAAAAAAGTTGATCGCCAAACCGAGGGAGTTAAGAGATAACTTTTTAACATTTATCGAAATTAAGATATCAGAATTGAATCTGTCACTAATCTGCTGAATATGTTGGTATTCTGATTTTTTTTTTTTTTTTGAAGACTGTTCCCGCCCTCAATGCATTATTTTCAGCCGGTCCACCCAACTTGATCGGCATTTCCTTCAACGATCAAATTTTCCCATCACATTTTGGTATTTTAAGAACAGATAATTCCTAAGAAGATGATTTTATACCTTGCATCTTGTCTTGAGGGGATAGTTTGGCTTTAACGTCGGGAAAACGGCGTTATTTGTGGTTATCTTGTAAACAACGAGTTCTTATCGCGTCCGCCATTTTGGATTTCAATGGATTGCCACTGAGCTCGAGGAATGCAGGCTCATGTCTTTGTACAATAACAGTTTGTCAATAAATAATAGAAATATATAATGATAATAATAATAATAATAATGATGATGATGATGATGGAAGAAAATCAATGGAAAGAAAAATGAAAGAGAGAACAAAATACAAGTATTTTTTAAATCTAGATTTCACTAGTAAAAAGTTGCATATAACGTACACATATACTCATATCATTGGGAGGCAAGTTGATAAAATATTAGATAACTTTTCATACTTACAGATTCAACTACATTGTTTTTCTTTGGTGGTTTTAGAAACGCATTCACTGATTACTTCAATATATATATATATATTTATATATGAAACATCCTACCTATGACCTTGTACTACTGACAGGAGAAGGGTGGGGTTCTCTCTCTAGTAAAAATTTTTTTATAATTTGCTAGCATGCATCTCTTTCCACGAGAATAAAAGGACAAAAGATGTTGCCCCACCAAATCTTTTGTCAAAGTCAATCAAAATGGCAGCTATGACATCACATATACCACAAGAATATAATTGCTGGTTTCCATATGCCAGTAATAGCTACCATCCTGTATTGGAATTTAAACGTCCTTTTACCTAGAGTAATTTCCTAGAGTAGCATTTCTTTGTTTATATGTATTTGGTGGTGGATAAGAAGACACATGAATATGGATACAACTCAACACGAAGTATCTTATTCTCTGGAGAATGACACTTGGTCTGAAAAGGATTTATTGGTTATTATTTTACTGTTACATGCAGTGCACACATATAATGTACAGGGTTTGAATAAATAGTCCATTAGTCGTAGTTCATGATCAGTGGCCAAATTAGTTTGATTAGCTTGTTCATAGGGTGCAAACAATATAACTGTAAAACTTTAGTAATACTAAATAGCACAATTTCATGCAAATTCCATTATTTCTTATTGTTTAATTAGCACTATTTTGAACTATTTAGTAATTAGTGTTTCATGGATTAATTGTTTGCACTCTATCTTATTTCTGAATGATTGAAGGGGCAACGATTTGACCAAAAAAGTTCCAATTCTGGCCAGACACTGCTAATAAATAATAATAATAATTTATCAAATTTCTATAGTGCTATATACATTAACTCTATAGCACTTAACAACTTAGGAAAAAATATTAATAAAAACAATTATTATATGACCGTGAATCTTAGAGCCTGGACACTAGCAAATCGAGCAATCTGATTGGATAGATCGCATCGCGGACTGGTCTAGATTCTCCGGCATTAACCGGTCTGATCGCATATTAATCTTAGGGCGAAAACATTTTGTCCTTTTCAATGAAAAGTGGTCATATAATAAAACTCTTATCAACCGAGCTTGGTCGGTCTGTATGGGATAATCTTGACCTCGGTGGGGTACAGACCTCGCTGCGCTCGGTCTGTACATTCCGACCTCGGTCAAGATTATCCCGTACGGACCTCCCGCTCGGTTAATAAAATCTAAATCTAAAATACAAATAAAATTTCAATTTAAAAAAACTAAGAAGGTGAAAAATTATAAACTATATTAATAGCATATTATATATAAAATGTTCAGTCCATTTGTAAAAATTAACATATGCAACAATCACTAAAAATTTAAAATAGAAATATTACAAATTGTAAGCATCATGGAACAGAAATGTTTTTAAGAGTTTTTTAAAGTGATCAAAATTAGTACATGTTTTAATTTCCCTTGTAATTTTCCTTATGTGTTCCATAGACTGGCACCTGCAAATGCAAAAGACTGTACACAGACCAGCCATTATTTTAAGCCCTGTCAATATGCCTCCAGTTCTATTCTACAGTAGAAAGCATAAGACAAACGACTTTGAATTTATCACAAATAATTATAATATAAATAAAATATAAAAATTTCATTTTCATTTTTCATGATGAATTTTGCAAGCTAATGAAATAAATAATAAACACAAATGTCTGACACCAATTTTCTGGCACAGTTTCCAAGTTATGCTCTACTACCAACAGTATTAGTTCATATATACACAATAAATGATGAATGTGAATTCATTAAGGCACTTAAAAATAATGGGGTACAGACATTCGATTATAAAGCAACTTCGAATTACAAATATGATGTATCTTAGGCCCAGTTCAGACGTCGATCCTTTGTCGCGTCGAATCTAATTATTTACATTTAGTGCATGAGAAGAGTGACGTTTGAATCAATTGAGATTGACAGATTTAATTAAGGTCAGCAAAGAATTAAAGTCGACTGCTCGAGTCGCGCGAAACGGCAAAAGACCGGCGTTGATTCAAACGTCGATCTATTGTCGAGTCGAATCTAATGAATAAATTAAAAAGGCTCAAGATTTCAGCGGTTTTTGGTTTTTGTCAATTGCGACCGGCAACATTAAAATCGACGTGTGAAACGGACGTTGAATTTTAATGAATTTGAGTCAACTTCAATTCCAATTAAATTCGACACGGCAAAAGATCGACGTCTGAACCGGGCCTTAGCTATTGTATTGGCATCAAAATTTTTCTTCCAGTACATAAGTAATACATTTCTGTGCAATGTCATATGAAGCTAGCCAATCAACGTGCTTGTTATATCTCAAATAGCAAAAACAAATAGTATAATTTATTTAGAAAGATACTGATTGAAGTTTGCCTCGCACATGCTAACTTTTTCAATAAAGTAATCTTCATTCAGAATGCTTTCAAAAAGATCAGTCCTCAACATACAAATCCCATCCAGGTATTCTTGGCTGTGCTGAGTCTTAAAATGCCGTCCCTCCTTGACAAGAAGATTAACTATGTTATCCCAAGGATCCCACGTTCTGATGTTGTCGTCAAACAAAATATGATGTGCCGATGAATCCTTCACGTCAACCAGCAACGGTTTTCCAGCTGAACTTGCAAAGTCATTCTTTTTCCACCAATCATAACTGTCCTGATATAGTTGTACTCCAATTGACGTACTGAACTCTTTATAAATTTCCTCATATGTGGACAATTCCCTACCATTGGTCGTCCTTATGAGCATTCCCTTATCAAAAGGTAATATTTCCCCTGGATTCAAATTTACTGAGAAATTCTTAGAAGAGGGGAACTGTATGTCAGGGTGCAAACTTTCTGTGTAAAGTTTAGTTGCATTAAGAGCAACTTGACCATCTCCACCAAAAGTCCTAAGAATAACTGCAAAATCCCTATTATTTTCCAACAAATGATTTAGCAGTTTAAAATAAGATGGAATGATACGATAATAAAGTCCATCTTCTTCTTTCATAAATAACGGCTCGAGAACTTGGAATTCACTCTCAGATAAATTCCCTTTGAACTTCAAATTCTCCTTGACTTTCTCGACGTGTGGTCGAAATCGTTTCCCTACATCGTGAAGAGTAAACCTCCTAACATGCTCTTTGAACTCCCGTCTTTCTCTCCCTGCCATTTCAAACTTCTTTTCGGCGTATTTGTAGTAAGATTGGGCTTCTAAGTTTGTTGGTTTTGTGGATATTGGATCCTCAGTTGGAATCCATGAGCCATTTTCATCAACATTACCCCAAGTTATTTCAGTCATGTACTCATTTAAGACCCCCTCTAAGACTGTTAACTTGGTTTTAGAATCTCCCACGAGGATCGTATTATTGACATCAATGTGGAGAATGAGTTTACGAGGCTCGTTTCCCATTTTTTTTGTTGATGTTCTAAAAATTACTTCCAAAAGAAAATTACTGTAAAAGGAAAATTTTCTATCACTTTCCCCATAATGCACCGGGGTAACTCCACAGGAAACCCAAGTAGTGTTTTTGATTCGGTTAACTCTTATGACGTTACTTTCCTTGAACTTCACTAGCCCCTGAATTCACTGAAATGAATAATTTTGTCCATTACGTCACTTTAATGTTAAGCTCATAATTAGAAAATTTTGATTCTTTTTATTAAAAATTAAATCAATGAAATGAAATAAATAAACACACCTTGACACACGCGCAGTTAATTTAGTATCATGAGTGCACATCCGGTGTCACCTCTACTAAGAAAAAAAAATAAGAGATAACTAGCTAAAAACTAGTGTGAGCTGCGTCGGTGTTTCTAATGAAATAGTAATGATGAAAAGGTAGATTATACACCGTGAAAAGATGAAAAAACTTACTGACGTTTCGGACGCTAGTTCTCTTTTACTCCGACGAAGGACTAGCGTCCGAAAYGTCAGTAAGTTTTTTCATCTTTTCACGGTGTATAATTTACCTTTTCATCATTACTGTAAGAAAAAAAAGTGTATTGTCGGCATGGTGGTTGCTTTTCAACTGCTTTTGATTTTACTGAGAAACGTAGAAACAGGGAACAATGATCAAAATGTCCAAGTGACAAAAATCCTGAACCCGAGATGAGATTATTATCATATAATCGATGGTCATCATCATCACTATCATTTCCCCCCCATTGTTATTATTCAGTTATCATCTTTCTCTATTCTGTTCCTTGCTTATTTTTAATTTATTAATTTTTTGTTTTGTGGGTATATCGGGGCTTTGTGTTCTGATCTGAAAAGATAATGGAAAGCCTGTATCGTTCCTCTATTGTGTAAATATTCCGTACCGGAATCCAATAACGTTTTCCGGTAGACCAAGACTGTAATTCAGGATCAAGTAAGCAATAAATCGTATTTATCAGTTTACATTCATATTTTAACAGGAAGCTTCTTCACTTATAAATGTGATTTTCAAGAAGGTCCTGATAAGTAAGATATTTTTACAATAATAAGCAAAAAGATAATTTGGAGGTTGAATATCGAAACCAGCTCGTTACTGAAAAGTCAACATCATTATTACTAGTATGTAAAATGAACTTATATCTGGTATGACGTATCCCCTGTCAAACTACACCCTTTAAGAACTGTTGAGCCGACAATGATGAGAAAAACTTACAGCAATCCTCATTAGACTCTTTAGAGCAACTTTCGTATGAGAGGAAAAATACAAACCCGTCACTCATGCAGCACGTGCACGGTACGGGATGCAGTGAAAATGACACAACACTGAAACGGCCTTCCAGTATTTTGATTAAACCACAATGCTTAGGTACGGTTACGGTTACGGTTACGGTAAGATAGGTGCGTCCGCTACGTAAGGCTTACGCCAATAGACCTATCCCGAAGTCGCTTGACTGACCACGAAACAATGGTTTGAAGTTGAGACTGGACTTGATTATTTTGTTCATCAAGTTCAACCTCGACTTGAAACCATTGTTTCGTGGCCGGTCAAGCGAATTCGGGATAGGTCTATTGCCGTACGTGTACGTCACTTGAATTTTTCCCACTCGCGATTGATCATACGAAATTAAAACCGCTATATATCAGGCTCCATTGTTTAATGAATGCCAATTGCTTACTGGATATACTTACTAGAGTGTAAAAGAAAGTAAATTTACCCAGTTACGCCTTGCTCGTGATAAGAAGTACGTCCAGGAAGGACCTTACAAAAAGTCAATCATGAATTCGAAAGCTGGCGTACGACATAACTACCAGAAAAAAACCGATAACAAATGAGAAGAGCTGAGAGTGGCAGCGTCCAGATACACATCGCTGGTCATGGCCAGGAAGGGCTTACCAATTAACACTTTTAAGACAATATACGTTGCCGTAGTGGAAGTGGGCGCAGCTGAAGCCTTGTCACAGTGGCCGGCGGAAGGAAGACAAATCAGCCAGTCATAAAATTTTACGATTTGTATTGAGTCGCTTAAGCGATCAAGGATATACAAAGGTTATGATCGTAAGCATGGATGGGCAAGAGGGTTAGTGTTGTCGTAGTTGGGGAGGGGGGGTAGTCATTACTTGTCAGCGACCAACCGTACACCCCCCCCCCTCCCCTTACCCACACCACCACCACTATATATCTAGTAATCTAGCCAAAATTCAACATCTTCGTCGTTTGTTTTAGCAATTTAAAATAAACATGTCCTTAGGCACTATGCGGAAGTTCAATACATCAAATATTATATTCCGTTAGCTTCTACGAATAGGCGGAAGACATACCGGAGACGAAATTCAATTACTAGAGAAGTCAAATTCTACACAAATGTAGCAAAAATCTCTCAAGCGTTAATTTGATATCTTCTCATCGACTAATTTGTTTAAATGATAAAAAGAAACACAGTAAAAACAATAAGAGCTTAATATAGTTTACTGTCAATGTTGATAACGTGACGTCAATAGCTGAGTCACTACTCTTTTTGACGTCACACAACACCGGAATAAATATACTCATTAAGCCATATAAGGTGCTTCGAGCCATATATGAATGATTTTATTAGTCACGAGTTCACATTTTTGGGGTGGTGAAGTCATTACCTGTTAAAATTTTATACGTTCGGTTGGTTTTTAGGACAATATAAATACGCTCTGAGCTTGGCGAATCACTAGAGAATTTATACAGGGTTTAAACTACGTCCGAGGATCCTCCTCGAAAAGATCGAGCAAAAATGGGCTTCATCAGAGTGAAATTAATTGAAGTCAAACCGGCCTCAGATTGGAAAATGTTTGATCCGTTCTGTGCTGTACATGTCAAGGAAGCCGTAATGACTCCAGGACAGGGCATTAGTCTAGTTCAAAAGAAAAAGACGTTTGTTCCGGATTGGAACAAGTGTTTCGATACTCATAACTACGAAGGAAGAGTTATAACAATCGTCGTTAAAGAAAAACCGGATAAATTTTTGGGGGAAGTAACAATAGGAGTTCAATTTTTAGTGGACCAGTGCAAACGCGAGGGATACTCTAGTGTTTGGGTAAGTCCAAGAAATTAATTCCTTAATAATCCATTCCTTTTTACTAAAACTACCTCAATGCTATCTATAATTTTATATTCTTGTTTTTTTTGTCAGCCATTTTTAAGTCAAGGAGAGAATATAAAGTTACATGCACAAGCGTGTACTGTAATCTTGCCATTATTGTTTATATACAGTACACTTCAGCATTTTATAGCATTCATGATTTTTACAATAGTATGGCATTTTACAGTGGATTTTTCTGTGGTTTGAGAGGATAATTGTTATGGCGATATCCTGTATACAGTAATTAAAAGTCTATATTGTTGAGAACATATGTTAAAACAAGTTAAATATAATATAATTGCACCTTATGATTTTAAATCAGCTTCATATATATTTGACTTTCCATTTTATTAAGCTTATCTTCAAAAAATATATGTTATATATTTGCAAATCCCTTTCGATTTGTTGAATATATACTTTGCAATGTTTTAAAATATCGGAAATATTATTTCTATAATGGCTTCTCTTAATTATTCTATATTTCGAAATGCTTTTAAGTTTCCACGTGAACACGAGGCTAGTCAGTCGCTTGTCAGTGCAGAATAATAGTTATTCAAATTGGTTGCCATATTTCGATTTGGTGCATAACAAAGTTAAGCAATTTTTATTGCAAATTATAAAATGCTTATCAAATCTTATATATGCATAAATTATATGCATAATCCTTTTGGATTTATTTATTATAAGGCATTGAATACGTTGAGACAAGCTTTATTTATCATAATTAGGCATTAAATACGTTGAGACAATTAAGCTTGATTATATTTTGTGCTTTCAGTACTAATCTGGATTTCATTGTTATCTCCAAAGTAACGAAAAACATTTTTGCACTACAGTACATTATATATATTTATTTGGCATTATTGATGATTTTGTTCTTTTGATATGTGATGATTGTGATTATGGTAATCCATGCATTGCGGTAATCAAACACTATTTCTTAAACATTAATTTGAATTCCTTTCGATCATGTAATCATCAACAAAACACCATGTTTGTAATTAGTTAACCTATGCAGTATATTTTGATATCTGTAAATATATGATGTACTCATGTTGTCTAGCCACATATTATATCTATGATCACTGACAGACCTCACTAAACACCACCGAAGTATAAAAATTCTTTTACAATTAAGTATATGAATAAAAAACATTACAACCTGTTATTTGCAAGAGATCTTAAATCTTACATTTGCATGGTCTTGTTATCATATAACTGTGCCTTTATAAAATTATTTTCTCTAATAACATATAACATGAGATATATATTGTTTATGATTTTCATATTGTGTTTTATGAATAAGTTTGTATTATTGATTTATTCAAACATGTTACTACATATATAGCTACCACAGTACATGTAAATATTGTATGTTCACACTTACATGGTTATACTTTAATTTATCAAAGATTATCCATGTATCACAGATTAAATTAGTTTGCAACCAATCAAGCTAAGAAAAATTAAATTTAGCATTTTCCCTCCATCTAGTACATAGAGTTCTATATTATCATGATAAAATCTAGTCTAGACATAATATAATCTGATATATATTATTCATTTTGTCATTGCACATTATTCCCAATAATTAATTAATTAATTGCTATGATAATTTTTTTAAAAAACACTTTTAGAAGATGCTGGATTTTGCAGTATACTGTAAATTACATTCCAGATATCATACGCACCACACTATAGGCTGAGAACCTGTGAAAATCCTGTAAAAACCTGTGAAAAATATCTCTGTATTTTTGAAATTTCACATGATTTTCACAGGTTTTTTACAGGTTCTCAGCCAGTAGTACCAGCTTACCATCATCATAAATCAAATAACTGGGTTTTTGTTAAATTTAGCATTCTATACTTTCTCATTATTATTAATTTGTTTTCTTTTAATAGCTGAACTTGCAGCCCGGTGGTCATCTCCTGGTTCAAGTTCGTCATTTTACTGAAGTTTTAGGTAAGTCCATTAATATGCAATGAGTACACATAGTTTTATGCCAAAATGGAAAACATAATTAATACCTTGCTAGCTCGACTCCTTGCTTGTCTTAATTTGACAAGTTCTTTTAAAATGTCCGGACCCATTTATAGCTCTTAATTAATGATCAGGAACCAAATTTTACTTATTTAACCTAAGGGTTTGTGTCCCAGGGTTAAGTGTATTTCACTTTAATTTAAAACTTTATAAAATGCTGTTCTTAATTACGGTAGCTTGTCGTGCCACCTCATGTGGAGATTGGCTTACATTCAAGTACAGTAAACTAATAACATAATATTATGACAACATTTGATGCAAAACAAAGATGGCATGTTACCAGTGAACACTTTGAATTTTTTTTTTCTTCTTCAAATTTTTAAAATGGATAATGTAAATAATCATGTCTTGATCCAATAGATTGAAAAATAAAATTTTTTTATTTTGATCATCTGTGTAACTCATTGAAAACTCAAAACTTCATTTTATTTAACATTAAAGGGTTGCAATAAAAGAAATTTTTAAAGTAAAGAAATTAAATTTGGTAATGATTGAAGATGTTTGTTTTTAATGATTTTGTTATAAACACATCTAGATGATCCAACCAAAGAAGGCAAGCCTCATGAGAACCACAGTGGGCTCACAGGGAGAAGAGGAGCCATGCGAAAACAAAAGGAGCACATTGTCAGGGGTCATCGGTTCGTCGCTAGGTTTTTCCGACAGCCAGTTTTTTGTGCATTCTGTCGGGAATTCTTATGGTAAGTTGGATTTCCTGATCACAACAGTGCATATCATAAATATCATGCACACTAGAGCTAATAGATATATTTCTGCACGCTAAAAGAGCCGATTGTTGTTGGAATTGTTAAGCGTACTCTAGTGCTTGAATAACAGGAACTTTTTTCTCTTTCCCTAATGATGGGTTATTGTCCCAAAGTCTTGTGATTTTAGGAATAAAATTTAACATCTTAATTAATGTTCAATGAAACCTATGCACAGCACCATATTAAATGATAATGTACTTTCCGATTTGCAGGGGTTTTAATAAACAGGGATACCAGTGCAGAGGTTAGTTACAGTAGCTATACTCAAAAAAAAAATGGTGTGCCTAACTACACCCTAGTGACCTAGTGAACCATTGTTTCATATGCAGTACCATTTATAATTAGTAATCTATTGCCCAATTTCCCTAGCTGTTGCGACTGTAATGTCTCATGCAATGCTAAGTTGCAATGAAAATATAGTGGTTTAATTGCTATCCATATGCATGAACTCTTTTGGAATTTTTTTTTTTTTTTTCTTTTTTTTTTTTTGTCATTGATAGAATGGAAGCCATTATTTACAAAAAATAAAACAATAGGAAAATAAAAAAGATAAATAACAAAGTTATTACAGTATACATATATTTGTCCAAGTTACCATTTTCAAATTATTTTTAACAATTTTTTTTAGCCTGTCAATTAACATGTCATAAGAAATGCCATGACAAGATCCTTCACAACTGTACTGGATCAAGAGGAGCTTTAGAAGATGGGGTTAGTGTTTGATAGGCCTTTTTCATGATACAATCATTTTACTACCGTACATTGTTTGTCAGCAGCTATTCAAAGTGGTCATGCACAAATTCCTGTTTGTTCAGTGCTATTGCTTCCTGTTTGCCAGCTTTGCATTGCAAGCTTGCTTGCTTGTTTTATCTATTAGAGGTGTGCCAGTACTTGTCCTATGAGCTAGTTTTCATTGCTTCCACCACCCTCCTATAGACCAGTTTCAGCAAATATCCGTTCAACTCACAGGACAAAACAATGAAATTCAGCCCTCATGAGAGTAAGGTTCTTTATCTTTGTCCTCTGAATTAGGCTGCAAATTGGGAATATCCTGCAAGGGGTCTATTATGTCTCATAGGCAAGTGTCAAATCTCCACTGAATTCAGTGTGACAAGATCAGGGGGGCTGGCTTGGTTTCCATGGTCACCTCATTGCTGGCCTTTTTGCTTGCTTAGACTGACAAGCAATGGCACCACCTACAGGTACCCTCTATATTGCCAGTCTTTGATAAGTTAAAGCCACAGTAAATTGTCAAAAGAAAGCATGCAATAGTTTCTAGCAGGAAGTTGTAGTATGTGATTGGAAGCTTGGACATTCCATCAGGGCTTGAAGTAACGGTTGGTCCATCACTGGCCATGATAACCAGCCAAATTAGTTTTTAGGTTGGTCATACGTTAGTATCTTTGAGGCTTTCCCGTTCAGACGTGATAAATTGAATGTAAGATTACAGATAAAATGGTCATGTGCCTCCTTTCTGGCTAAACATTGATGGTCAAAAAGACCAGCAAGCAAAATGTTTGACTGAACAAGTTCCATTTCTCAGATTGACTCTCTGTTATTTTAAGCCCTGTGCCATACCTTGGCAATGATTTCAAGTTTTCAACCTGTATTCATCCACCAAATATATCCTTTCCCTTCCTTACAGACTTTAAAAGAAAGATTCAACCTTGATATTCCTCACATCTTTAAAGTGCACAACTACCTTAGTCCAACATTCTGTGATCATTGTGGCTCTCTTTTATATGGCCTCTTTAGACAAGGACTTAAATGTACAGGTAAGAGAAAGTATTCATGTACAACTTTCTATTTTGATAGCTCTTGAATATATTGATGGAGTGGTAGGGTTTAGAATTCAGACAATGGACGGGTGACACTTTGCTGTCTTAACGATAATCCCAAATCTGTAGAATGTGGAAGTAAATAACGAGAAATCTTGGTTTTAAAAAGTTTGTAACTGTTTACACATTACCGTCCTTTGTCCTCATTACTCTGACAAAGTACTAAGTTTTGAAATGTCAGTACAGTTACTGCTTTTTTACGCAGTTTTTACGACTAACATTGTTTTTGAAGTGTTACCCTCATTTGATGTCTCGTTTGCCGACTAACATTCAACGACTGTCAATCAAAGAACTGAAATAAAAAAGACAATATCTTGAGCGAAATTTTGGACTGAATTAAAGATTTTAGAGGTTTTTCCGGTCCTCCGGTTTTTCCTCCCTCCTCTCAAATCAACCCTAACTAATTCAAACTGGTTAGAGCTGTGCTCTGGGGTCATACATGGACTGTATAGCGGCTGCCAGAGGCACCTTTCACATGTTTACAGTTCGACCTCGTTGAGCTGCACCACTGCTGTACTTGCGGTGGCGATAAGCGATAACGAGTTTTTTTTTTCTTTTTTTTTTTTTTTGACAAGTTATTGCAGGGTTATTACACCTCCCTGGTTGTTATCACTTCTAATAATGTCATTTCCTTTTGATATTCTCAGCATGTAATATGAACATTCACCACAAATGTCGTAAACATGTTCCCAATCTATGTGGGGTTAATCAAAAGGAGCTATCAGAAGCTGTCCAAGAAGCAAAGGTGAGCTATACTTTAGAAATAGAAAACGCGCGCGCGTGCTGTGTGCAGTTAGTGCAGTTTTCGTATGACTGTCAAAAATTCACTGCACGAACACGGCCATGACACGGCAAGGGATACGCTAGACCAATCATATTGCACGAGAATTTACTCTCCATCCAATCAAATACCCGGAACACGGCATAAACACGGCGCGGAAACGGTCACGCCAAGGTCACGGCAATGCCAGACCAATCACATTGCGCGTGGAAAAAATCAGCCAAGTAAGATTCTAGAAAGCATCATGGTCACGGCACGTCACGCTTACGGCACTGAGCTTTTCGCAGTCATACGAAAACTGCACTATAAAGCACGCGGGGACTGGCAGAACATGAGAGAATTGTAAAGAAAAGCACTCCGCTATGCTTTTCGACACTTCTCGAGCTTTCCGCCAATCCCCAAGTGCTTTATAACTCCACACAGCACAGCAAGCAAGTTTTTTATTTCGTTTATAAAATACAAATTACAATGACTGTTATTTTAGATGGGAAAGACGGAACTAAAAATGCGCGCATGTCGTGTGTTTTCATATAGCCCGCGCTCCCAACCAATCAACGCGAGATTTAAAAAAGTTATTTTCTAATGGATAGTAGAACACTAGAATACTACAGCCAATACAGCAGAACCTTTATGAGGTAGCCACATCGTATCACGACGGTTAATCGCACGTTTCCGCGCGTGCCATATTTAAAACGACTGTAAATAGACCGTTTCCTCAAGGTTGCGTGCGCATCCAAATGTAAGGAACTTGGCGGGCCACGATACCAGAACACGAGTATTATCATGCATTGCTATGAAAAAAATTTCTATAAGAATTCATGAAGTCGACTATTCTCCTCTTTAAATACAAAACTGGCTTCTCAATTTTACTGAATTTGCGTTTTTCAGTTTTATGGCCCGTCAAGTTGGATGTGCACGCAACCTTGAGAAAACGGTCTATAGATTAATTGAAAAAGAGCCACTGTTAAAAAAATTAATGATTATTCTCTTGTCTTTCCTAAAGGCGGCAGTTAGAAAGAAAAAAATTAGCAATGCACAACAAGAAATGGCTCTTGCACAGTCGCTAGCGTCACAGTCAATCGACGACGAAGATGAAGAAGACTCGGCTGACATTTATGAAGCGCTGTGGGACGCTGTCTCACCGAGAGCTAACGTGGAAGACAAATCCAAATTTAATCTGAAACAATGTCACATAGATGATTTTAATTTATTGAAAGTTCTTGGAAAAGGAAGCTTTGGGAAGGTGAGAACCTCTCTATGCACTTTTCAATTCACCTTTACGGCGCTAGCCGTCACGGAGTATAAATTGTTTTAGATTGTGTTACTGTCACCAAAAAGTTCGGACATCATTCTTGAATTTTCGTACAAATGTACTGACTTTAAATGAACTATTTACTTGGTTCGTTTAGTTAGTTTTCTAAATACAAGTAAAGATCATTTTTCTAGCTTGATTGAAGCTTTTATTACTGCTGTTAAGAGAGCTAACTAAAGAAATCTGTACCTAAATTTTCTCTTTAAAGTCAGTGAATTTGTATCGGAACAATGTCCGAACTTTTTGGTGACCGCAACACAATCCAAGCTAGCGCCGAAAAGGTGAATTGAAACCCCGCCCGGGACTGAGCTGGGAATGGAGACCTTTAGCATCAGGTTTACCGCTAACTGCTTGGGATGATCAGACCCTGAAACCCGCCCGATGAACATTATCTAATGTTCCATCCCTTAACTTCTGTTTTAATTCTACAGGTTCTCCTGTGCGAATTGAAAGGAGCAAACAAGTATTTCGCCATCAAAGCGCTCAAAAAAGATGTCGTCCTTGAAGATGATGACGTCGAGTGTACGTTAGTTGAACGTCGAGTGTTGGCCTTAGCGACAAGACATCCTTTCTTAACTCACATGCACTCAGCATTCCAGTCGATAGTAAGTACATTGCACCTTACTGACTACAGGGAAGCATGGGTGGCGTAGCGGTGAGAGCGCTCGCCTCTCACCAATGCAACCCGAGTCGCGGTTGTATGTGAGTTCAGTTGCTAGTTGGTTCTCTCCTGTGCTTCGAGGGTTTTCCGGGTTCTCCGGCTTTCCTCCCTCCGCAAAAATCAACTCCTAAATTCCAATTGGAATCCAGTGGAAGAAGAGCCACTCAGTGGAATTCACTGTTAATCACATTATTATTACATATCATAACTCAATGAATTTCTATTAGCGAATTAGATGTCGAGTAAAAGACAGGATCAAGTTGGCATTGTAATGTATTGCTGGGCTGTTTTGCAGAGGGGACACATTTCCAAGATGGCCTCTATTTCGTCAACAAAAACAGTCCCAACTTACACTGCGAATCCAACTCAACCCAGTCTTTTACTCGGGCTGAGTAAAACTGCATTTCTTCTCACCTTCTACACGGCTTTTTGTTTGTTTAACCTCTATATTAATACATCCTTTCATATTTTAATCTTGTCCTTGACCATTACCACTGTTTTTATTTACTACGCGCTGATCGAGACATGGAAATCGTCAAATATCCTCTGTTATTCAATGACTAGTAAATCGATAGAGTAGTTTCCGATATTCCTCTTCATGGTCCCCATTAGTCTCCCCCACAGCCGCTTTCAGTGCCGTCACGCAACGCTTCTTCTCCCCCGAGTACTCAGTGTCGTCACGCAACGCTTTCTCCCCTGACTACTCGGGGGAGAAAAAGCGTTGCGTGACGACACTGAAAGCGGCTGTTGGGGAGACTAATTCCCCATGTATCTTTATGTACTCTAAAAAATTATTTGATTGGCGGCAGTGGTATGGTCGATTCCCCTGCCGCGACTGTTGTTTCAGTCAACGCGCAGAAATGAAATTGTGATAATCCTAATGACATTCTGTGTTTTCTTCAGGATCATTTGTTCTTTGTAATGGAGTACCTTAATGGTGGTGATCTTATGTTCCACATTCAATCTTCTGGGAAATTCGACGAAAGGAGATCGAGGTATTGACCGATTCCGTGTGCTGTAATAATCTGTTATAAAATAACTATTATATCAATCTCGTTTTCTGATTGGTTGGGAGAACGTGCATTATGGGAACACACAGCACACCTAGCGCTTTCTGTTTCGTCCTTCGTGTCCAAGATAACGGTTATTCTACTTTTTATTTTATGAAAGAAATAAAAAGAATGGTTAGTGTTTTGTGTCGTGAAGTCATAAAGCACTTGGGGATTCCTAGAACACTCAAGGATTGAGAAGAACTCTGCTACACGTCGTTTTTTTACCAAACACTTAGGCCCTGGCTAAACGAGGAAACATGTTTCCCTACTGAAATGTTTCCTAAGGTGACAAAACTGTCAGGAAACATCGGGAAACAATATTTCCATGCATCTTGGAAACATGAAATGTTTCTACCGCACTGTAAAAACATTTTTTGCGTCTTGGAAGCAAAATTTGTTGCACGCAGCAATGTTTCGCTTGTGGCTAAACTGGGAAACATCGAGGAAACATGCGCGCGGTAAACATGTTTCCTCGTTTTGCCAGGGCATTATCTCGCGTTCTGCCAATTCCCTCGCGCTTTATAACTGCACACGCTACGTGCACTCGTTTTCAATTTCTTCAACAATCAGACCCTTAAATTTCTCTACAGAGAACACAATCTACTAGTCTTAGTTTCACTTCGGCTAACATATAATTCTCGTGTTGCAACCACAATCATGACTCAAAATCCCTCGAGGTATTGATAACCACTGAACAGCGGTCATGTTGGTTGATCTAACGATAGAAGCTAATGAGGAATGCTTGGTTATTGTCAAACAACATACAGGCTATGATGTAACATGCACTACAAGAATTGCGTCCAAAAGGCGCGATTACGCGGAGCAATTTTCTCTGCAACTTGTTTTGCGTCGGTTGCGACACCATTTGCATGGAGTATTGCAGCGTGTAAACTACAGCGCCGAATTAAAAATGAAACAAATGCTGCGAGATAAGTTTGTAGCAATTGTTGCCAAAAGTAGAATTCGTTTCTACTTTTCGCAACGAATGCGTCTCCATTGCATCGTGTAGACACTCTTGCAACTTGTGTCGCAATGCTGTTAGGAAAGAGACAAGTTGCAGAGAAAATGGCTCCGTGTGTTCGTGCCTTACTTGATAATTTTCTTTTTTTCTTACAGGTTTTATGCTGCAGAAATTGTTTGTGGTTTGGAGTTCCTACACGAACTTGGCGTTGTTTACCGGTAACTATCTGATGCATATTTTCGAACGTTTTACCACTACCCCAACCATGCCCCCCAATAGCAACCCAGATAGCCGCATTCAAAACCGTTATTTTCTAAGTTTGTCAGTATAGACTGCAGTGTCATCATCTCTAAATACAACACCATCATCCCGCCTGGATTTTTTTTAAATATTGATGACAAACAAATACTTACATTTTTAATAGTCCTTAATCTTGTTCTTGGGTGGTCGTAGAACTTGATATGCAGTGGCTAAATACCAGTCCTGTATGTGGTCCTCGCTTCATGATGGAATTGGGATTTAGGAGAAAACCCCTTGAAGCACAGGAGGACCAACGAGAAACTTTACTTACGTACAACACTGAGTCCGGGTATCGAACTCGGGTCGCATTGGTGGAATAGAGCTCTGTCGCCGCTATGCCACCCGTGTTTGATTCCAAGCACGAAAGCATCTTTAGTTAATAATCGCCAACATCATCATCAAAAAGACTTTTGTTTTCATCTTATTTTAGTGACTTGAAGCTAGACAACATCTTGTTGGACAGTGAAGGACACATCAAACTAGCAGATTTTGGAATGTGCAAAGAGAATGTTCTAGATGGAAAGAAAGCCTCGACATTTTGCGGAACACCTGACTACATCGCACCAGAGGTATACATCCGTTAGTACTAAGATTCCTGTATTCCAGTGCTCTGCTCTGCTCTGCTCTGCTCTGCTCTGCTCTGCTCTGCTCTGCTCTGCTCTGCTCTGCTCTNTCTGCTCTGCTCTGCTCTGCTCTGCTCTGCTCTGCTCTGCTCTGCTCTGCTCTGCTCTGCTCTGCTCTGCTCTGCTCTGCTCTGCTCTGCTCTGCTCGGAAATGGAACCGGGGTCGCCTTGGTGAGAGACGGAGCATTATAGTGGCGCATGCACCCTTCCTGCATTTCCACATTTACAATTGCTTAAATGTTGTTCGACTTCCTGCTTCTTTGTTTGTTTGCTTTCGTTATATTTATTTCACTTCATCTTTCAAACAGATCCTGAAAAACTGGAAATATGATTCCTCGGTGGACTGGTGGTCATTTGCTGTTCTTCTTTATGAAATGTTGATAGGACAGGTAAACCTTCCTCAAGATTTTACTAACATTATAAAAAAAGTTCTTATTTAAACTATAAGTTATTTATCAGCCTAATGTCGGTACGGATAGGAAAAAACTGCATGTGTCCGAGATCGTGATATGCGTCGGTCCGTTTTTAAGACCGAGGTCACAGTTTTTCCCTATCCGAACCGACCTTAAGCCCGGTAAATAACTTTTTTTTAAACTTTTTTACTTGTTTGGCAATTTATTTTGCTGTTGAACAACCGTTTTCCCATGCGTGCGGATGACATAAGCCTTACAACAGCGGTGATAACGGACCGCCGGCAGAAAGTAAGAGTTAATTACCGAGAACGGAGGCAATAAGCCATATACATCCCGAGGGCCGCAGGCCCGAGGGATGTATAGGCTTATTGTTGACGTTCAAGGTAATTAAGTATTTTATTTATCAATTGAGAAGGTTTTCTATTAGATGTTGCTCATTATAAATGCAAAGTCTATATATAGTTATTAACCGGGTTAATAACGAACTATATTTGACCTCGCATTTATAATGAGGGCTATAACAAAAATAAAGCCTTGTGAATAACAAAGAAAACCGTGTCAATTGAGAAATAATAGAAAATAGCTCCCGCTTACTTAGCCAATCAAAACGCACGATTTTTAGGATACCGGAACGCAAGAAAATATCTAATTCACTTTACTCTCTGGTTTTTCCCTTTAGTCTCCATTTGCCGGAGAAGACGAAGAAGACCTGTTCGATTCTATTTGTCGTGATAAGGTCCATTATCCCAAATGGATATCTGATGATGCTGTATCGATTCTAGTTCAGGTAACACTTCCATTTAATTGATATTCGAGTGTATTTTAAGCCCACGTAAACACCGTGATTTCCCAACAGGGAGTTTTCAAGTGACATCACAGCGGCCATGTTGGAGTACCAAACCAATACCAATCCTCCGGGAATTGAACTCTATTTTTGTGCAAAAACTATGCAGAAAGTTTCTATCGTTTGGTAGACCAATATGGCTGCCTTGTCACGTGACTGAAAGCACTGTGTGGTCCTTTTGCTGGACATAATCACGTGAAAGGTACTGAGTGGCGTAAGAATTCGGACTTCCCTTATTTAAAAGAACTTTGTCTGGATTACTTATGTCATACCCAAAAACGTTTTAGAATTACGATTGTGTGCCTAATTCGCTATAATTCCGAGGTGGTTGAAGGGAAGTAGTTGTTCTTGTGGTGCATTGTGGGACTGCCTAGGGGAACAAATTGACGCCATCTTGGAATATGTCCCCTAAAACAGTCCCCACAATGCGGTCCCCACAATCGACCCGGTTTTTTTCTTACCTCGGAAATGGTCAATTTAACCTACTCTCGGTTTCAAGCTACGAAGCGTTCTAAGGTTTGTTTGCTGTCCAGAAGAGCCTTCCCCTTTCCATACAATAGTTTCGTGCTTAATATGGTTAAGAGGTTTAGTTCTCACCATGATTACAATTCTCATCCCACCCCACCCCCTCCACAGTTTTTCATTTGGAATGAGACAAATTCGCCTTGTACCTATATTTCGTTTATAAAAATAAAATAAATGTTAAGATTAACAAATGCCGTAGAATTAACAGCGGTCCCCAGAGTGAATCTTCTTCATCTAGACTCCATTAAGAATTTAGGAGTTGATTTTTTCAGAGGGAGGAAAATCGGAGAACCCGGAGAAAACCCCTCGAAGTACAGGAGAGATCCAACAAGAGACTCTACTCACACACGGTACCATTTCTATTTTAGTTGTTTGAAAGAACTCCAATTGAAAGACTTGGATATAGACATGGCACCAATCCCAACATCAGGGGACATAAGTTCTTCAGGACAATTAATTGGACGAAACTCGAAGCAAGACAGATAGAACCTCCTTTCAAGCCTAAAGTGGTAAGTGTGAGAATGATATCTTAACCTTGCTCCATGCAGTCATCAAACAGATGATATTGTTTGAGCAGGAGAATGTTGCTGAATACACTCGGTCGTGAATCCCATTAGCAGAATGCAATGACATGCAAACACTGCCAATCAAGTGCTATCAACCAAACAGTATTCTATTGCTTGGTATCAATCAGCTGAATGAATCTCAATACCAGCCTACAATGTAGGCAAACACTGCCCTTCATTTGCTATCATCCAGAGAGTATTCTATTGCTCAGTATCAATCAGCTGAATGAATCTCATTACTAACCTAATATGACAGGGCGAGACAAAAACTGTACGACATGTGCTATCTAATAGAGTATTCTATTCATTGGTATTAATCAGCTTAATGAATCTCATGGAATTGAATGACTTGCAAACACTGCCCGTCATGAGCTATTTATCAAATGGAGAATCTTCTATCGCTATTGACCATTTTTCATTTATTAATTTGTATATTTGTTTTCTCACCGCAGAAAGACCCAAAGGATACTAGTAACTTTGATCCCGACTTTACCATGGAGGCTCCAAAATTCACGCCAACAGACAAGGATCTGTTGCAATCCATGGACCAAGCACAATTCCGAGGATTCTCGTTCATCAACCCGTACTTCAACGCACATCGATAATCAGTATACGTGATTATACCCTACCATTAGAACTTCTTTTACTGATATACATCAATAAAGAGGCTTTGCACCATCACATGCCGACGCCCATAATACAGCTTGGACTGATTGTGGTTGGATGGTAGAAGAATAAAATCCCTTTGCTCTTGGGAATTGAATTCTTTCTCATGTAAAACCATTGTATTGTTCCTGTCATCAAACATGGCTGCCGTCACGTGATGGTGCAAAGGTTTTATAGCACAGTCACATTTCTTTACTCAAAACCATTTAGTAAATGCACCGTACAAGAATGATTTTTACTTGGCCCATGAAACAGAGTTGTAGGATTAGTGACTAACTGTCAACGAAGACAAAAGAAAAAAATGGAATTATTAGACATGTAATATTCTTACGGGCCTAGTGAAATCGCTATATATAACAATTTAGTTGAATTTGACGATACCTCCCAAACCGTAAAGTAACCAATAGTCTCCTTCACAGTTCCCTGCGCCATCTTGAAAGGTAACCATGCCTTTTCATCGAAGCGAGACGAACGGTGAGCTTACAATGATTCACCATTTTCCACACATCAGTTCACTGGTGAAACACAAAGCATTCAGTCCAGGTTGCAAGGTTCAAATTTGAAAGTGAACCGATTTATTAGACAGTGAATAGAGACATCAACGTTCAACTTTCAAGATGGCGCAGGGAACTGTGAAAGGGACTATTAAGCAATAGATCAGTTCGCAATTCTTTGGTAACACAGAGGTTCTTCTCAGACCGTGAAATTGCAGAAACTTAAAGGGATTTCAAACGTACAGCACAATAGCCATGCTTCGGAATATTCACATATGCAAATTAGGTTTCATGATGGCCGCTTCTCTTACACATCAAACTCCAACGCTTCATTTCCTGACTTTCCGAAGAAAATTACTGAATCTTTCAATCATACATTTAGAATATATTTCTTTAATTTAGCTTTGGGAATTTTTGAAGCAAGAGGGCGTGATTTAAGCTGGAAAAAAAAATTATTAAGGAAAAAGTTGAATATTCCGGAGTACTGTATCGTAAAGATAACATTAAATGTAAGTCTGTTACACCTTCCAAGCCCTTTACGACTATCATAAATACTAGAAACTGTTTCACGGTCTGAGGAAAACCACTCTATATAACAAGTACACTTTGGACACGTGGTCTACTGGACATTTCCCCTACAGAGGGCCGCTATGCAGGCCACCGGGCAAGGGTGCTAGGGTCTCCCCTTTTTAGAGAAAATGAGGAAAAAAATACAAGGCCTAGGTTATTAGGATTTTTTATGCTTTGTTAGACATGCATTATTTGCATGTGTTGTGTAGCACACCTCACGAATTCAGACTTGTTAAATAGACTGCTTGCCCTAAAATGTCATATATGACCATTATTACCCTTGATGTGGAAGAAAACGGATTCCTCGAATGTAGAACATAATTTGTTGCGTATAAACAATAGGTTTATACTTACTGTGAGATCAGAGATGAAATATGACATTTTAGGGTGTGATTAAAAGTAGAATTAAAAAGCAAAAAATTTTTTGATCCAACAATACTATATACATATTCCGTGCGAAAGCTATACAGAATTGAATATGATTAATACAAGATTTAATTTTTAGACTCTGTTCTCAGTATCTTTCCGTGTACAGCTATTTCAAAAAAGGTTGAATACTGCATACTGAATACTGCATTCCAAGACCGAAGTGCATTGTGGGTCATAGTGACATTGTCTAGTGTAGGATTAATAATAATTATTTATTCTATTTTTAGTGTATTCCATCTGAAACAATACACTAACTAAATGTAGAGAGTTAATTGCTGTATATTTACTTTTTATTTCAAATTAACGAGACCCACAATGCCCTTTAGTCTTGGAATGCACTATTCAGTATTCAACATTTTTCGAAAAGCTGTATTCTATTTGGACATAAATTATTGTAAAGTTGAATTTCAAGGATCTATGTTTTATAGATTTGGTAGTTTTGTTGATTATCCTAGTATATACCATGTATATATATCTACATATATATCTACATACATACTCAGTGCAGTGAATCCAAGATTGTAGATTTAGAAAATAAAGGAAACTTTAAATTTTTTATATTTGTAGCATTGTTTTTTAATCTCGTACCCAGAGCCTGCGTTTCTTCTGGCCTGTGGGGAAGACAAGGGCTCAGGCATAATCCATTTTTTGGCGCATGCGCAATGTTTCTAAAGTGAATTAATATAATTAGTGAAAATCTTGCTTCAAAACAGAGTTCTGGGTTTACTTCTGACCAAAATAAAAATTAAGTTATCGGAAACATGTTTTTATTTTGGCAAGGCTTTGAAACATTGCGCTCTTATACCGGAAGTCCAAGAAAGCCTGGGGAACCGAAAGCGCCTCACAGCGGCTGCGCAGAAGGCTGTGTTAGGAACATTGGAGTTGTCTTTGATAACACTTTTTGCTTAGAAACATCATTGGACTGTGCAAGTTAGCTTGTTATCATCTTAGATCTATATCCCGTATTAGAAGATATTTCTTAATAAATCGTATGGTTTACGTACTTTTTCAGTCTACGCACCTAGACTTTGGAAAAGTATTCCGCTTGATATAAGAAACAGTAACTCCATAGGCATTTTTAAGAATAACCTAAAGACCTACCTAGCTATTTAGACAGACTTATTTTTTGATTATTGATGACGTTATTATATCTATTCTTTATATTTTTACATCTATTTATAGTCTCTTATCTTTATTTTTATCTGGATGTTGGTAGAATTCGAGGCAAGCAGTTGCGAGTTGCGAGTTTGGATTTGTGACAAGACGTAAGTGAGCAGTACTTCGTAACAGTTTAACCACAAACCAAAAATTTGTGTCATGGTTTCAATAGAAATTTATTTACAATTAAAGAATAAAAAACGGTGCATTTTGCTTATTACGTCACAGTTACAGAACAAGCTGGTGTCATCATTTGATCATAAAACGGCTAACTTGTTTTGCATTTCAAAATTTTGACCAAAATGAATACACTACAACCGTAAACAAACGGTATCATTTCTACGGAATATCAGTCAGTTTTTACCAGTGTGGACTGGTTGTAACGCCGTTGCGAGACAAGTTGCAGAGAAAATTGCTCCGTGTAACCGCGCCTTTAACGCTGAAATCCTTGCTTTAAATTTCATTTCTTTGCATAACTTCTATATATATATGACAATTTTACATGCGGATCCTTCGTTTTTAAATATTTTCAGCTCAGAAGGAATTTAGGAAAAAGCTTGAAACTCGTTTTATGGGTTTTTGTGTTCCACAAAAACTCCACATCTGGCACATTTCCGGTTGTACGATGTATTATATCATGTGAAGCGTTTACAATGGCAAGGTCGGGCTTCATTAGAAACTATACATATATTTGAATTAGCAACAATGACAAAACATTTACATATTGAAGCCTAGAAAGAATTGACTTGACGGAATTAATTATTTATTTATCACTGGTATGTGTGATTTATATGTATATGCATGAGTTGATTGGTATGTATGTAGGGGGGAAATGATACTCGCAACTCGCAAGGACTTCCTGACTCGCAAAGTTTCTGCTCTAAACTGCTCTATTTAAAAAATTCTCTTCGAAAAGCTAAAAGTTTAAAAGCTACATGTAAAAATATCACTATTTAAATCATAAATAGTGATATTTCGCAATTCCGTTCTTTCTCCAAAATGAAAGTGAAAGTTACAGGCAAAACAGATTGCAAAAACTTGATTGCTACCATTCGTTGTTTAGTAATAATAATAATACTTTATTATTTCATGCATACTGTGATTTTCTTATCAAATTTCCCTGTGTGAAAGAAAATTCGCGACTTTTTTTAGCCAATCAGAGAAGCGAAACGATTTGTCACGCGTGAAAAAATCTCAGTATGCATTAAATAATAAAGTATTATTATTATTACTAAACAACGAATGGTAGCAATCAAGTTTTTGCAATTGTTTTGCCTGTAACTTTCACTTTCATTTTGGAGAAAGAACGGAATTGCGCGAAAGTTACAGCGACTTTCAGGTTTTTCCTGTGTTGTCACTCTGAATAGATTGGGATCTCAAGACGACTTAAGAAACATCTGTAAAATGGAACCTTCAGACTGGCAAACCAAGTTATCTTCCTTCAAAGAACGTCATCTGTACGCCTACAACAATTCCTCGTTCTGTGATGTAGAGTTTTCTGTGATGGATGCTAATGGTGACAAAGTCACTATTCCAGCAAACAAGTACGTCCTGGCTATCAGTAGTCCTGTCTTTCAGGCCATGTTCTACGGGAAATCAGCAGAGACTGGACGAACTATCGATCTACCAGACTGTACCAAGGAAGGGCTACAAGAAATGCTACGATACTTCTATTCAGACGAGGTCAACTTAACTGGAAGTAAGGTTTTGGATGTTCTCTATTTAGCAGAGAAGTATATGTTGCCATTCCTGAAGGAGAAATGTGAGGAACATCTTCAAAAGGAGCTTAAACCAGAAGAAGTGTTCCACGTATTACCACAGATACGTAACGAGAAAGTTGAACAGAAGTGCTGGGATATGGTGGATAGCGATGCTGAAAGAGCTGTGTCTTCCGAGTCATTTCTGAATGTTTCAAAGGAAATGCTGTGCAAAGTGCTTGGTAGAGACACCATGTCCATTGATGAAGTGGTTTTATTCCAAGCAGTGGAAAAATGGGCCTTGAATAAACTCAAAGAACAAGGTTTGGAAGAGAGCATGGAGAATAAGAGAGCAGTACTTGGGGAAGAAGTGATCAAACTTATTCGATTTCCACTGATGTCACAGAAGGAGTTTGCAGAGAAGGTTCTTCCGAGTGGGATTCTGAAAACGGATGAAGAGACTGAATTGACTCAGTTTTTTAATGGAACAGTTCCGCGATCGCGTTCATTCAGCAATGCGAAAAGAGGAAAATCGCAAGTCTTTTTACCAAAAATAAGGTTCGATTCGATAATAAAGCCTTGTGATGCCCCTTCGCAATGCTTCGGTGTTCCGGAAGCAATAGATTTCAAGGTCAACAACCCCCTCTCCCTCGTTGGTGTTAGACTCTTCGGTGCTAAAGGTTCTACATACGACGTTACCCTGGCTTTATATAAGAGTGATCAAAAAATAACAGAGATTTCCTCCGCCTTACCAACTGAAGATGAGGAGACGGGGGATGGTGTCAGCGGACTCTTCGGTGCTAAAGGATTTACATACGAAAAAATAACACAGATTTCCTCCACCTTCCCAACTGAAGATGAGGAGACAGATGGTTATTATGGATTTACCATTCTTCTTGATGAGCCTGTTCCTTTGGACCCAGATGTCGTCTACACTATCGAAGCTACCATATCAGGTCCAAATTTCTATCATGGGAAGCAGGGTAAAACTACTATTGCATTTGAAGATATGGTCATTACGTATCTGGACTCAAGGGTACCAACCTGTCGTACATCTTCACAGGAAGGCCAATACCCCTCGTTGTTATTCAGAAGACCATGATAAGAAATACTGACACTTTCTGCTTTTGTCATCAACGGCATCTATTGTGCCAGTTAATCATTTTAAGCTTTTTAAAAGCGAGAAGGCATTACGATAGATACTTGGGTTTGGTTGGTCTTTTAGTTCTTAGATATATTGTCTAGTAATCTCAGGTATTTTGAACGAAAAAGTGTATATTACTAGCCAAGAACACTTAGAAACAAAAGTAAATACCTTTACGGGTCTTTGTTTGGCTCATGCCGGGGTGAATTCTTAGCTATTTGCAGTGACAGCTAAATATAGTCCACAACTAAATACAATTAAGAGTTACATATATAGCAAGAAATCGTATCACGGATATATGGCGTGCACTCTATTGTATTGGACTTTCTATCACATGGGTTATAATTAATTATTGTATTCATTATTGCAAATATATATATATCTTGTATATTTTATCCAAAAACAGATAAGAATAATTTTAGCAACAATTAGTATGCACTAGGGAATTAGATCTGCAGGTGGGTAGAGAGGGGGGTATTGTAACGGGTTTCCAATTTGTGCTAATAATTCCTACAGCCTTTGAAATCTTCAAAAGGTTTTTGGTATTTTGAACGATGTCATTCTAAAAAAATTGATATCGTATCTGATATCGTCAAAGCCAACCGTTTCAGGCAGGAACTATTGGATATCAATAAAACAATAAAAATATAGTATTAAAGGATCGAAATTCAGTTTAGACTTTAGGCTCTCAATATCTTTCATGTATAAAAACCTGCTTGGACCTAATTTATTTAAAATCATGATTTCAAGGGTCTATGGTACTAAGATTTCGTAGCTTTGTTGCAGTCTATACCGTTTAGTATATTTCTACGCATACATACATACTCAGTGTGGTCTACTGAGTACTCTGTATTTGACTAAATAACGATTAATATTGGTAGCCACGTTATGGAGCAAAGGACTGTGGGATAAAATGTGAGGATGCATATCAAACAATGAGTGTCAAAGTTCTCTTTCTCGGTCTTAAAAAAAGGGACTGGGGAGAAGCTTGTTTTTTTTTTTTTTTTTTTTTTTTTTTTTGTAGTTTTTTCTTGTTTTTCGTCTTCGCCAAGCTCATTAATGTCTCTCAGCCGTTTCGCCAGCCGACGAACACGAGTGTTCGCCATCTTTGTCCTCAGGGTAAAGACCCGCAATCCAAATATGGAATTATGTATGGAGCAAAACTTGATATGAGAATAAAAATGTTAAAGTTAAATAAGCCATTTACTTTCCCATATTTTATTCAGTCATATCCACATTCCCATGCATTGATTGGTCCTTAGCAAGCTTCCGTTGAACCTTGGAAAGGTAGCTTGGATTAAAGAGGTTCTCAATCCTGACTGCTTCTCATTTACAAAATATTTTATGAGAGAACCTCTGGAACTAAGAAAGTACGGAAAGGGGGAATGTCAATCAGTTGCGTTTCTGAAGACCACAGTAACTCTATTTCATCAATAAAATGAAAAAATTCAACAAGTTTGCTTGAAAAATAACTTCAATATTTTCTAACAAATAGAAAATATAGAATTTTAGCACGCTTTTGTTACCGGGATTTGCAACGCCAACACTTTTACGACTTATTTCCGTATAAAGCTCGAACATGCGCAGACTCTCCAATCTCATTATTAATGGACCAAATTGTGGAATATTAGAAGGGTACACTAATTTGAACGGAACCAATTTACTGTTGTATTTACAAAGACCTAGAACGTACGAAAAATAAAGTAGCATAACACAATAATATAACAGAATATCATGTAAATTCTACTAATTTTTGCGCCAATAAATGAAAGTGAAAGTAATATATACACTTATAAAGTTTGCCCACATTGGCCCAGTTGAAGACGTTCAAGACTGATGCCCACAAATGCTAGAGTTTTTATGATAAAAGCATTTAGCAGCAATGGTACCTTGTTAAGTTACATATATAGGTGATCCTTACAAAGATATTAACATCTATGAATTTATTCGGAGACATTAGCACGTAGTTGCTATTCAAAGTTCAAATTCAAATAAAGTTCATTGATAGCTTGATTGATTGACAGTTAGTAGACTGGGACTAGATTCTTGCTTTGTTTACTATCTCTTCTGCAGTTTCCATGGAACTTTCACTATGTGGAGAAAGAACCGAGTCGCGCTTAGTAACACCGACATTTGTTCCTGTTTTTACTCTTTATAGACTCAGATTGGGGATAAAAAGACGATTAAAGAAACCTCTGCAAAATGGAAGCTTCAGCCTGGCAAACCAAGTTATCTTCCTTCAAAGAACGTCATCTGTACGCCTACAACAAGTCCTTGTTCTGTGATGTAGAGTTTTCTGTGATGGATGCTAATGGAGACAAAGTCCCTATTCCAGCACACAAGTACATCCTGGCTATCAGTAGTCCTGTCTTTGAGGCCATGTTCTACGGGGAATCAGCAGAGACTGGACGAACTATCGATCTACCAGACTGTACCAAGGAAGGACTACAAGAAATGCTTCTATACGTCTATTCAGATGAGGTCAACTTAACCGGAAGTAATGTTTTGCAAGTGCTCTGTCTGGCAGAGAGGTATATGTTGCCATTACTGAAGGAGAAATGTGAGGCATATCTTGAAAAGGAGCTTAAACCAGAAGAAGTGTTCCACGTTTTACCACATGTACGTAACGAGAAAGTTGAACAGAAGTGCTGGGATATGGTGGATAGCGATGCTGAAAGAGCTGTGTCTTCTGAATCATTTCTCAATGTTTCAAAGGAAATGTTGGGCAAAGTGCTTGGTAGAGACACCATGTCCATTGATAAAGTGGTTTTATTACAAGCAGTGGAAAAATGGGCCTTGAATAAACTTAAAGAAGAAGGTTTGGAAGAGAGCATGGAGAATAAGAGAGCACTGAGTACTTGGGGAAGAAGTGATCAAACTTATTCGATTTCCACTGATGTCACAGAAAAAGTTGCAGAGAAGGTGGAAATCTTCAAGGATACGACAACTGAATTGGTTCAGACATTTAGTGGGTTATGCCCCTTAAAACGCTCAGTTAGCAATAACAGAAAAGGGAGTTATAAAGCTAAAGTTATTATACCAAATACACGGTTCGCTAAGATAAGAAAGCCTGGAGGTGGCCGTTGGTCATACCTTAACGGTAAGTCGGATGCAATTTCCTTCAAGGTTAACAAACCACTCTCCCTTGCCGGTGTCAGGCTCTTCGGTGATGAAGGCTCTACTTACCACGTTAACCTGGCTTTATACAAAAGTGCTCGACCAATAAAGCATATTTCCTCCCCCTTTTCAACTGAAGATGAGGAGAAAGATGGTTATTATGGATTTACCATTCCTCACAAGCCTGTTCCTCTAGACCCAGATGTCTTGTACACTATTGAAGCTACCATATCAGGACCCTGCTCCTATTCTGGTTTTAAGGGTGAAACTACCATTGCATTTGAAGATATTGTGATTACGTATCATAACTGTAGTTATAAGAAATCAGAAAATCAGACGTCAACAGAATGGGGTCAATTCCCAACACTGGAATTTGAAATTGAAGGTGGCAACTGGAAAGTAAGACGACAATGCTAGAGAAACTAGAAGTTAGTGGGTCAGTTTCAGAACCTCAGTCATTAAGTAACATTATTAGACGGCCAATCGGAAAGCAGACAGTTGGTTAGTCGGTCAGTCGTTCGTCAGGGCGTAACCAAAATAACAAACATAAAAACCAGTACTCGTTCTTTTTACAAAAGCATTCCTAGTTACCGTATATAATCTGAACCCGCTCATTTGTTGCCACGAAGGGGGACAATTAGGACCGAGGTTATCATGTATGGCTATTAACCTAAAATAAAATATATTACACAGCGTTTGAGAAAATTAGAAATAGCTACAAAATAAAAGGATGGGGAGGGGGAGGGGGATTTGTAAAGTTTGGCGCAGGAACTAAATCTCAATAGAACTGCAGAATAAAAATATTAGTATAACAGAGTTTAACTTTAGTAGACTTTGAGTTCTCAATATCTTTCCATGTATAAAATTATATTAGGACCTAAAATATTGTAAACTGTTGAATATCAAGTATACACTTATTTCAATAAAGCTAGTCACCTAAAAACCTAGAAAGCTGAGATCACTGAGGATCATGGGAAAATTTTAATATCAAACGAGTAAAGCTTTTGATACAATTTGCAGCTTGAGGATGCTCAGAAGAGGTGAGACTGTAACTGGTAAAAGATCTAAAATCCGTCCACAGTTATTAAAGCGGTTGAAACATGTAAAATGTATCTACCCATAATCCTTGCAGGTCTCAGCTTTGTAGCTTTTCAGGTGACTAGCTTTATTGAAATAAGTGTATACACTATATAAACTATTTCGTATATACACTATTTCGTATATACACTATTTCGTAGTTTTGTTGATTATCCTAGTTTATAGCATGTACATATATATATTATATATACCGATACGTGTATCTACACATATATCTACACATATATATCTACACCGCATATATATCTACACACACATCTACACATATATCTACACTGCATATATATCTTCACATATATCTTTGATACATACTCGGTGCAGAGAATCCAACAAGATTGTAGAATTAGAAAATAAAGGAAGCTTTCAATGCTTTTACTCGTTGTCTACTGAGTACTTTCAGTATATGACTAAACTACGATTGGTAGGAGACTCGAGGGCAAAGGACTGTTGAATAGAATGTAAGAATGAGAACAAAATTTCCGCCCATCGAGTTCCAAAAGGTCGTTACCAAACTTTCGTTAAACATCGGTAGGGAATGTCCATTTTTTCTTTTCCGAAGACAACAGTGACAACATTGTAGCAATATAGAAAATACAGCACTACGTTCGATAGCATTCGTATAGAAAAACAACTTCAAAGTTCCGAGCAAATAAAAGATCCACCAAGTTTTTTCTTGCGTTAATTTTTCATACCAGTTTTCCTGCTAGTAGATCGTGCCTTGATACATTGATAACTCTTAGCACTAACCGGTATTATCTAGAGCGGAAAATAAACACCATCATAGGTGTATAAATTATCTGACATCAATTTAACAAATAGACATCAGTTTTTTTATGTGTCTGTCCTCTCATTGGCGATAAATTGCGTCATCACATTGTCAAAGTAGTGTGGATCCGCATACTACTTTGACAATCTGATGACGAAACTTATTGTCATTAAGAGGACACTTAAAGAACTGATGTCTATTTGCTTTTTACAATTAACAAAAACGATAAAAACTTCTCATTTTTAGCGATCAAAGCAACCAACGGAAAGAGCGCGCGCTCGATGACGTCATCTTTATCTGTCTGTCCTCTTACTGTTGATAAAAAATAAGCAATCAGTGTGCGAGAAATTTGTAAGTTATTGTAAAAAGCATATTTTTTTAATAATTTTTAGTTTCGCCATATATTAAACTTGAAATATAATGACTAAAAAATACTGTGATACATATGACAGGGTGACCGCAACAGCGTTAAGCCAATTACTGCGGGCCCAAATAATGTCTTAAATGAAATAAAGATAATTTAAGTAGATATATTGACACATTTGAATCAAATAACTAACAACAGGAGGTAGCAAGAGTGAGGCTTCTCCAAGAGTTACATTTTAAGGAAACTGTTTTGAAAGTACGTGGGTCATAACAGTTGTAACTGTCCAGTGACGTTACGTAGTAACTTAACATGGAGAGGATGGTAAACCAACCGTTGAGGTTAACGGGATTGTTGTTACATTTATGTCGTCGGAGAAATCACAAAATGGCACATCAGAAAAGAAGGGTCAATTTCCGACACTGATCTTTAGAAAAAAAGATGACTTACAAAGCTAACTTAACCAGTAAGATTGTGCTTTCCTGGATTCTACAGTACTATTACTGGTCTTCTTTTTTCACTTTTGTTGGGAGGATATATATATATATATATGATACTGAAACAGTCTTTTGTTTCCCTATTGATTTGCGACTGAAAACAATAGACATATATATTGATGGGTTGCAAGCAATCCCAAGAGAGTCAAAAGACAAAAAGCGTTTTGATTGGCTCCTGAAAAAATACTTTGATTGGTTGAAACTTTATAGTACAAAATGGCGGACTTCCTCTCTGTATTTCGTCTTGTTCCTCGGTGAATTGTTTCATCCTAAAAAAGTCATGTTAATTATGATTTAAAAAGAAAGACCAATGACCCAACAGCTTCTACTGATATCCTAAATGGCGCATACAAGGTTTGAATGATTGGTACAACTTAAAATAGTTCGATGTTAAAAACCGCCATGAAACAAAGTAGGTTCGAAAGAATTTATTTAATATGACCTCGAAGCTACACATAATACAAAATGAAATAATCATAGTACAGGGTGCAAAAATACAACCCAAGAAAGTTATGAAAAACTCAATTGCGCACGATTATCTTCAAACGAAATAAAAGAAAGACAGACTTGAACAATGAAGTTTACATACGAGTATTTTAAGTTGTCTGTTGCCTTAATAATTCTATGAATATGAGAGTAATAAACTATAGTCGTATATTTATTGTAATAAATTACAGTAATATTCTAAATAAATAAAGTATTGAAGTAACCAATTGCTGTTGGTGGTGTTAAAAAACCTGTTAAAAAATTAACAACATTGCTAACTGGCAATGCCGAAAGAAGTGACGAACAACCTAATCATGTTTGAAAGAACAAATTTATGAGAACAATTGTCACTAATTCAAAATCCTTAATCTAAACTTATTTATTGCGGTAACTGCAAGTCAGTCATTGCTTCAGCTGCAAGATAGCAAGTAATTTGTTATAAGGATGTGAGAGTAACTAGCTAGTAACTTTCATTTGTCTAATTATTCAAGTGACCTGATTATTTTAGAAACATTGAAATTCTTACATGTAAGGGTTAGACTAGTCTTTATATGGGCTAGCTGTACTTTAATTATTTTATCCCCCCCCCGACCCCCCCGTAATTCTTTTTCTCCAACCTGGCCACTCATAAGAAGGCATTTGTGATATTGTTTCACCATTCATCCTATTGCCTAAAACATGAAAAAATACTGACAGTAACAACAGTTTTGCAAGGAAGCACATACTTTTTTATT